TTCTTTGGGTTTATACTTTTTGGGATTCATTCAGCTCCTTCGATCTATAGGTTTGTCTTTCACCAAATTTGGGAAGTTTTCCACATTATTTCCTCAAATATTTTTTCAGCATTGCACTCTTTCTCTTCTGCTTCTGGGACCGATGACACAAATGTTAGACCTCCATTTCTTTTCCACAGCCCGTGAAGCTCTATTCATTTTTTTCTAAGTTCTGATTAGTTCAGGTATCTTAGTTTTCAGTTTTCGAGTTTCCATGTGTCTCCTCTTTGTATCCCACTTCTTCACAGATACTTTCCACTTTAACATTTGTTTCAAGAATGTTTGTGACTGCTTGTTGAAGCATATTTACAATAGTTTCTTTAAAGTCTCTGTGAGATCATCCCAACGTCTATTTTATCTTGCCATTGCTAAGCGTTGGCTGTCCTTTTCCAAAGCAAGTTGGCATTTTTATGGTTTTTCATTTCGTAAGTATTTGGATTGCACTGGTTGAATCAGACTGGATTGGATTTTGAATATTATGAGACCCTAAGTCTGTTTACATCCTATGGTGATAGGCTGATATTTTTGCTTTAGCAAGCAATTGACCTACTTAGATTCAAGCTGAGAGTTACAACTCATCTTCTATGACCTGTGGCTATAACATCAGTTTAGTTGTCAGTGTCTCTGCAGTTCTAATCTGACCTGAAACATGTGTGTAGCACTCAGGGGCCAGTCTATCCATCACCTCAGTTCTCAGTTTATTATATGCTAATTAAAATCAGATCCATACACGCACAGGTCAGGGGCAAACCCAGAAGTTCATCAACAACTTTATGGGGTCGCTTTCCCATGCTCCTCCTTTCTGCGTGATTTTCCTGATCCACAGGACTCCCCTTTCCAGCTCCCTAGAGAGAAACCATTCACTTCCACAACTGTGAGGAGCAGAGCCAAGTGGCCGGAGAACAGAAAGTGAAAAAAAGCAATGGGTTTTGGTTCTATAACCTTTGAGCCCTGGCTCCACCCAGCAGAGAAGGGCTCTCCCTTATATCACCATGTTGGCTCCTGTTACTGCTGCTACCCCTCAGAACTTGTCTGTGGACTAGGGCACAAGACAAGGGGGAAGAAAACAGCGAGGGACCCACACCATGCTCTGAGCTTTAGGAGTTCCTTCTTCTTCCTGCTCTGCAAGCCAAAACTAGTGGGCATCTCCTGGAGCTTCCCTGTCTGCACCCAGCATTCACTCCCAGGCTTCATGCTGCCCTGAGGCATCAGAGGGAAATGCCAAGCTCACCACTAGCCCAGGAATCCCTGGAATTTTGGTGCACTTCCCCATCCTCCTGTTGCTACTTACTTCCCAAGTCTCAAAGAGCTGTGCTCTGCACTGGTCCCGGCATATAGCTAGCTTCAGGAAGTGAAGGGCTGGTGTTGTGTGCACACTCCATCTTACCCAGAACCAAAATCTCTGCCTATTTTTTACTATGAGTCAGATAGTGTGTTCATAAAGTTGTACAACTGTGAGGTCCAGACAGTGCTACCTTCCTGCAGAAAGGACCTGAGTGCTTCTGCCTAAGCACACAGCAGGCACCCCGAGGTCACCCTAATGCGGGCACCGTGCTGAGGCAGCTCCTCTCTCTGCCTGGCCTGTCACTTCGCCAGCAGGACTCAGCCCCTTTTCTCGGGGCTGGTGAGCTGTCAAAGCTTCAGTGCTCAGCCTCTCAGTCACCCTGCAGGAATGGGAACTGCCCCCAGGGGAGCAGACCCAGCACTGGGCTCCCTTTAATCCTGGTCTCCATCCCACCCTGGACCCTGGCCTGATCTGCACTGTCCTCAGATGCCCAAATACCTTCAAGCCGACGATCTTTATAATTCATCCAACTTCTCTGATCATCCTCAGTGTTCATCCGAATGAACAGGTCTGCCATCCCTGGAAGTAGCTAATTTTTTTCCCAAATAAACTGGCTCCAAAAGGTTTCCTGAGATCAGTGCACAGATGAGGGAACTAGGGCTTACCTTGGGCATGGCCCATGAATCACTGCAGCACACCAAAAATCAGCTTTATTTCTAGAAGGATCTTCCCCCCCAGTTAACTACATATGTATGCATTAAAATCAAGTAGTAGTTGAGCATATTCTTATTTTAAAAACTGAGCCACTGCAGACAATGCTGCTGCCCCCCTGATCCTTCACCCAGGTTGGGACAGACCCTTTATCTGAGGTCACCAGGTCTCTGTTATTGGCTCCGCTGAGATTTTGTTATTAGGCTGACCTTTTCCCCATAGGAACAAATCTCCAAAAGTACGATGGAAGTCATTGGGAGCACAAGATACAAAATGAAAAATGATTTACAAATATTTTTCACAAATGTGCTATAAAGTTAGGTCAAGTTACATAATTGGCAACTTTTTCCTGCCAGCTTACAGGAAATTAAACCTAAAATCTGTTCAAGTGACTATTTTCAGCCTCCCAAGGGACCAAAGAATCAGGATTTAACCGACAGCCCCAAGGGCAAGCTTGCTGGCATCTGTCCACACAGGGGCAGATCAGTATCAGGCAGATTTCCTTGGGAACAATCTAAAATCAGAGTTTTAGCACTGAAAGGGACTTTCCCACCCCACCCCCAGAACAAGCAGAGCCAGGAGGAGCATGTCCCTGCAGGTGAGTCACACAGAGCGAAGGAGTGAGAGGTGGGAGCCACGTGCCCACACTGGTAAGAGAGAGCAAGGGCAGAGACCTCCCAGTACACTCTTGAGCAGTCCGGGTGTGTCCCCTGCACCATGAAGGTAAGGACTGGCTCAAGCCTGCGTGCCACCTTGACTGGGCTCATTAGGAGGAAAACCAGGCTAGGGATGCAGACGTGACGTGGTCCCAGGCTGCTCTGGGCTGCAGGGTGACTGTGCTGGGGGGAGCCAGCACGCCACATTACCAGGGAGAAGGGCTTGGAACTTCCAGCTGCTCCTACCTTGGCTGGCTTCTGGCTGCATGGAGCTTGGAGGAAGTGGGGGCGAAGATTCAGGGGCCTCCACCGCTGGGTGCTCAGCCACTGGACAGATGATGAACCACCGCTTCCCTGTGTGCAGGACTATGGAGCAGGGCAAAAGCAGCAAGGGAGACCAAGTGAATTTCTCCCGTGGCCAACGGGACCCCCCACCATTGGCACCAGACCTGCACTGGGGAACTCACACCGGTGGGGGGGGCATATGCAGCCCAGTCAGGGGCTACTGGCAGGGCTCACACAACACCCCCAAACACAGGCTTAGCTCCTGGGATGCCTGCAGTGCCGTCAGCGAAGGGTAATGCCAGCCGGGGCCACAGGAGGCAGCGGTGAGTCCACACCGCGCTCAGTCCCCACCAGAACCAGGCCCAGCTCCTCAGGTCAGCCCTGCCCACACCTGGGGAGACGCTCCCCACGCACTGCAGCAACCACCCCCACCCCTGGTGATGACCAAACCCCCTTACGATATGCTCAGTGGGGTCTGATCAAATGCCCACTAAAAGACAGAAAAAGAATGCGGATGGAAATGCCTCCTCCAAAGATGTGTCTGGCTGGCAGATGGGGCCCAGAAGGCAGACGTACCGTTCTGCTGATACACAGGAGCGTTTGCCTGGGACTGGTGACTCTCCTGGTGGAGGTAAAGGGTCAGAAATCAGCAGACCACACGGAACAAGGACTTCCTGCAGAGCACAGCGTGGCCTCAAAACATCCGAGGGGCCTCTGGAGCTCCGACGTTTCCCACCGAACTGAAGGTGCCCACCCTCCCGGCCACCTCACCCAACACTGCGTGACTCACAGGCACCTCGGGCAGGCCTCGTGTGCACAAAGCCTAGGTTTAGGGCGTCAGCAAGCCCCACACCCGGGACTCACCTCCCCGGTGCCCAGGCCGCAGGTGCTGAGGTGTGGTGGGCTCGTCCCAGGGTCAGAGCCACGGTCGACGTCTGTGTCCTCACTGAGCATGTCCTCTGCCTTGTCCATGACGTCTTTCATCTGTTCAATGAACGTCTCCCGCTCTGCCTGCAGGATGAAATCGTGCTCCACCTGCAACGGGACAGGGAACGCTGCTGGGGGGCCGCATGCCGGTTCTTCCCTGGTGGATCTACTTCACTTCTGCTCTGCACTCAGCCCGAGAGGGGAGCCCCAGCCAGGCGGCTGGCTCCACGAGAGGCAGCCCTCGAGGTGATGGGCCAGCACCGCCTGGGGCGGGCAGCCACCTGCAGAGGCCAGGGGCCCCCCGGACAGGAGACGGCCTTGCCGGGCCGCGAAGGCACCCGACCTCACCATGTAGGTGGCAATCTCATCAGGCGCGTCCCCGTCCAGGTCGAACTTGAACGTCACCATTTTGTGGTTGTGTGTCTCTAGCTGGCACTCCACCATCTTGTCGCCCGTGTTGCACACCTACGGGACACGCAGGTGCTGAGACCGGAGCAGGCCGCATCCGGGGAGCCCTGCACCACCGGCCCGCCCTGCCGGCCACTCACGTTCAGGATGGTCAGCCGGGGGCGGCTGGCTCTCTCCTGGCGGGAGCGCGCGCGTGTTGACCGGCGGTGATGTTTCCGGGCGGCCCTGCCTTCCAGCCGCCCTCCGCCGAACGCACCCTCACAGCTGTCGCTCGTCTCTCTGCCAGAGGGCACGTCGGACCCTCCGTAGCTGTGTGGAGACCAAGAGCGTGACAGCAATCTGCAGAGAGCCTCACGCGGGAAGCGTGGATTTTCAGGAATGGCCAGAAAACCTGGAGGGCCCGAAGCCAGCCTTGACCCCACCTTCGGGGCCCCCAGCCCCTTCTGCTGCAGTTCTGTCTTGGGTAGCACTGGTGTCATGGGGAATGGGTGGGCTGTCTGACCCGGGATCTCTGTGCTCGCTGCCTCTTGACCTGTGACTCAGGCCCCACGGGCTCGCAGAAAGTGACAGGATTAAGAAAATCCTCCCCTGTGCCTCAGCTTCCCCACCTGTGTACCAGCAACGGGAGCTCGACAACCCCCTGGGACTACTGCACTGGGCTACACGGCCACTGCCCGCATCCAATCCCTCCCCAACCGTGACATGTTCTGTGACGACGGGTGGCCGGCAGCCATGGTGCCGGGGGGCCTGGGGGTGGGCCAGACTGCCCTGCCCTCCATCCTCTGCTGGCCCCCAGGCCTGCTGACTCTTTGTCCACTGCCTCTCCCTCGTAGAACATCCCGGGCACCACAGACAGGCACTAGGATCAGGACACGGACGGGAGCACGAGGCAGCCAGAGCCCAGAGGACCAAGTCAGGCTTGGAAATGGGTGACAACGCTAGAAGCCCTGACTCGTGAGGGGAAGGTGCAGTGGGCGTTGGTGCGAAGCGCAGTGGGTGGGCTGAGCGCAGGGTGAGCCCACGGCCGCCCCCACCGTCCCCAGGGGCCAACGGGGCCGTTACCTCTCGCAGCTCTGCGGGGGGCCGGGCTGCTTGTCCTGGGAGGCCTGCTCCTGAAACAAAACCGCGGACAGGAGACACGTCACGGTGGTAGAGCCGCAGACTGCTGTCTCCCCACCTCCCCGCCCGGAGAGCCGACCACGTGAGGCCGGTATGAGGGTTTTTATCTTGTGTAGTTCCTAAAGGCGGGGGCCCCTCCTTGGCCAACATGTTAACCCACTTTGATTTTCCCCACTGGCGAGCACATGGGCCCAGGAAGGCTTGCCACTGGCCTTCCCGCCACCCCTGAGGGAAGGCCCCGCAAATCTACGTGTAAACGCCACGCTCTCCAGCGGCATGCGTTCGAGGAAAGCCTGACATTCGGGGACAGCGGAGGACAGAACAGCGGGCCCAGGGCACACACTTCCATCTTCCTGAGCGCTTTGCGACTTCCAGAGCCGAGACCTGATACCACCGCACGGGGGGCCGCTGGGGTCAGGGTCAGGGGCTGAGCCCGAGGGCAGGGGGCACACACCTCTGGGGCCGGCTCCACCGTCAGCTGCACGGCTGGGCAGGGGCCGGTAATCCCGGGCCCGGTGGGCGGCAGTGGGCGGGTAGCAGGCGGCAGGAGCGGGGTGGTCTGGATGGGCAGGCCCTGAGAAGCAGCCACCACCGCAGGGGCCAGGGAGCTGGGGAGCTGAGGCAGCTCGGGGACAGTGGGCGGCAACGCTTCCGGCAGAGGTGGGGAGAGAATGGTGGCTGGCGCAGGCGCCACGGGGACCTGGGCGGTGACATCTGTAGCGTATGGAGGCGGGTGGCCAAGCAGGATCTGGGGACACAGGGGACAGGGATGCAAGTCGGAGACTGGCCACGCCTCTGCCAAGGGTCCTGGACCAAGGCGGGCGAGCACACCCGTAGTCCCTCTCCAATACACCCATGGCCGCAGAGCGTGTTAGCACCCAGACTCGGCAGAAACTCTCAGGTCCCTGTTTGCGTACAATCAAACCTAACACCACACTTCGTTTACGAACCCGTAGCTGAGTCCAGCTGAAGCTCCATGGGTGGCATGTACTTAGCACCAAAAACAGCCCCCCACTGCCACCCAAGGGGCCTGACCCACACGCTGCCCCCTTTCCCAACCTGTCAGCCACACTCAAGAGGGACCCGGGGACCTTGGCCTTCAGTGGGCTGGACTCCTCACGGTCCCCTCTGTGACAGCTCCTGGTGGGATGGTTGAGACAAGTGGAAGGAGGGCCCCCCCTCCCCGTGTAGACGAGCGGGAGCCTCCATCCCGCCCTACCTCTGGGATGAGGTCAGCAGCGGGCAGGCCCACTGCTAGCCCTTCTGGTGTGGGATAGATCAGCAACATGGTGCGTGGGGTCGGATACCGAAGCCGCAGCCTGGTGGCCCCATTCTCTCCTGGAAGAACCCCAGCTGCTGTGTTCAGGGGAGTCCGCTCTCAGCACAGGGAAGCCCGTGAGGTGGCCAGCCCAGCCCGTCAATAAACCACAGACAGCAGGGAGGCCACCAGGCCTGGCTGACGACCTCTGAGTGCACAGTGCCTTCTCCAGCCATCGGCTGAGCAAGCGACCCAGCGCACCAGGCCGGCAAGGCAGCGAGGCACCAGGCCAGGCCCTGACACCGCAGATCCCAGGCCTCCGCTCGGCCCTTCCCTTGGCTTTCCCCAAACAGCCCTGACCTGCGAACGGGCGTAAGCCCGAGTAACAGACTGGCAGGTGCTCATGCAATCAGGCACCAGACCGCAGCACCTCCTCACACCTGGTCATCAACCCAAACTACCCCTCCCTTTGCCAAGAACAAATCCTTTCTGGAATCAGACACTGAGAGTCGACAGCCCAGAGAACCCACGTGCTCTCAGGACGGGGAGTCTAATTCCAGACTGGATCCAGACTGGATCCAGACTGGGTAAGTGCAGGGTGATGCCTGGACCCTCCACGCAGTCTAGGGACAGAGCCCCACCACGAAGCCTAAAGGGGGCTACTGGCCCCACCACACGGGACAGTCTAAGCTCGGAAGGCCAAGGGCTCGCTGCAGGCACACAGCGGCTGAGGCTGAAAGCCAGGTGGGGGTGGTCCCCCAGGTGAGAGGCCCCCAGGAAACAGGCTGCAAGGTGGAGGGGCTCCCAGGCGAGAGGCCCCCACTCCGGCTCCTCTCCTCGCACAAAGTTGGAAAACAGCCCTGGAGCTCCAAACCACACGTGGGCTGTGCGGGTGTGGAGCCCCGGGGAGGCCTGCCCATCCAGCAGGGCCTGTCACCCTCGTCCCGTCACCGTCAGCATGGCAAGCAGCCTGAGGTCCCCACCGGACCCCAGACGTCGTCCTTGTCTGCTGTGTGCCCCTCAGAGCCCTGTCTGCCTCACCGCCTGGCTGCTGAGATGGGGGTGAGCCCACGCCGGGGCTGCCAGACCCCGCCCAGGGGACGGCAGGTGCCCTGACGCCCACCATGCCACCACAAGCAGCTGCAACTGACCCTCAGAAGGGCCCGATGGGGGACCCACAGTCACCCCAATTCCCGCAGCTCTGGAGGCGGCGGACGTCCTACACGCCCGAGGAACAGGCCTGCTCTCCCACCCCCGCTCTGCCCCGGGTCAGGGTACTGAGGAGCAGAGACCGGGGCCCTCTCGAGCCTCAGAGTTAGACGCTAAGACATCGCCCGGCACCTGGAGGGCGGCCCTGCGCGGCAGGCGGATTACCTGGCTTCCCGCCCCGCCCGCCGGAGCAGCCTGCTCGGGAAGGCGCGCAACGCTTGGCTGGCGGGGCTGCGGCAGGGTGGGAGGCGCCGGC